ACTTTTTGCCACTGATGGCACTGAAATCGAATGTGTTGCGGATTTCAAATACTTAGGGGTGTACTCTGATAGTGTTCATGACATGGATGTGCGGATCGCACAGGCATGGAGTGCTCTTCACTCATTACATAAGATTTGGAAGCGCCCATTAGAAAACAAACTAAGATCAAAGTGTTTAAGGCATGTATTGAAACAATTCTTTTGTATGGGTCAGAATCATGGGTCATGAATATGTCACATTCTAGAAAACTAAACGGAACATACACGAAGATGTTGCGAGTGGTTTTCAATACACCATGGTGGAAACACACTACTAATGAACAGTTATACGGTTCGCTACCAAATGTAACTTCAGTAGTCAAATGTCGACGACTAAGCTTGGCCGGTCATGTAATACGTAGTGAAGAACCAGCCAGTAGGCTACTACTCTGGAACCCTGATACCTGTAAGAGAAGAGTTGGACGCCCAAACATAAGTTAAGAAACTTATTGAAACTGAAACTGGCTTGGAGGGACATGAACTTTTCTCAGTGATGTATGACAGACAGTTGTTGCGAACTAACTTTGTATGCTCCACCTCTACGGAGGATGAATGATGATGATGATGATGATTTACATAAAATTATATGGGATGTTATTAATATTAGAAACCATAAGTAAATTGACATGAAACCCATAAAATTCTATTGTTGAAACAAAAAGTACTAAATTTAGCAAAAAATGCCTGACAGAAATCCGTTGCCATGGCAACACAAAAAATTATTATCTTATTCCAATGATAGAGAATTGTTACCAACAATATTCTAGGAAAACTCACCAAGTTCGGCCGTTCTAAGGCTAGCCGTTCAGACGCCAGGTGACATCAAAGTTGGCGCGGGCACTTTTAGCCCCCCCCCCCGTCTAGGTAGGGTTAAAAGCAGTTGTCTGTAAAAACTAAGCATAAGATGGCCAAAAGTAAAAAAAAAAATAAATAAATAAAAAATTCTTTTAAATGTTATGTGGTGTGGTGGTAGGGACTTGGTCCAAACTTAGGAAAAATGGGTAAGTTTCGGTTCAGTGATTCTTGGTTGCCTAGGCAACGGTCTTTTTTTCCAAATGGCGGATTTTTACCTTGTGAAGGTATTAGTCTAGCCCAAAATAGACCATCTTTGACCTTTTGTATCGCACAGAAAGTAACACATATTTTATTGCCTCTAACATATTTTATTAGCCATACATTAACAAAGAAAATGATATGGAGTTTTGTTCGATATATTTTTGTAGAGATCTGTAGCAGACGTTTAAAGCTTCAGCTATTTATCTCATTTTTTTAATTCAAAAAACAATTTCAGCATAAACCCGTGATAACAACTTTCAGACGTGATAACGGTTGTATGAAGCATATCACATTATTTCGCTACAAGAAAAGAAGACAGGAATCGCATTCTTCTAGTGAATTAATGAGATAAGGGGTCGCTATCTCATTAATTCACTAGATAGAGAATCAGAATTCTTCTTCTAGTGAATTAATGAGATAAGAGGTCGCTATCTCATTAATTCACTAGATAGAGAATCAGAATTCTTCTTCTAGTGAATTAATGAGATAAGGGGTCGTCAGCTTTGGGGGCAGCTGGTCATAACAGAACCGCCCCCCCCCCGCCTAAAGCCGGCCCGTTGACAAGGCTATCCTAAAGGCTATCGGAACTGTTTTATCACATTAATTCTCAGCGGAAAAAATGAGATAAGGTCTGCTCGATGTGGCCGTTTCAAGCAAGCTCGCGGTTATCATCACCTCCTCTGTCCCCTTCTCATATTTTTATTACACGATGTACAGTATTTTCAAGTGGGGGTGTTTGTTCTTGGTCATTGCAATTGACTATTGACTATTGTAGTATTGACAGGACCGTCTTGTCAGGAGTGCCTTTATCTGCACTATTGACTGGACTTTTTTTTCTATCATTTTTTAACCAATCAGAAGGCAAATGCTACTGTACTGTATGATTGGCATTTTATAATGGTGGCTACTGGCCACCATGATCTACATCACAGCGTGACGTTACCAATACAGAGTTTTTCAGCAGAATTTCATCAGGCATGATAAGCTGTCTGAAATACAAACACAGCAATGTGTGGGATGCAGTTCGACAAAGCAGTTAGTAGTCTGGAGATGGTTACAGCTGAACCGTCTGGAAATTCGGTCCCTTCTGTCTTGTCCATTAGCCTAACGGTCCTTCTCAGCCTTCTCAGTATGTGCTGATTCTTATCTCCTGGCTGCTCAGCAGGTATCACTGACCAAGGAAGGGTTGTTTATTTATCTTGGACGGAGTGGAGTAGGGAGCTATAATAGGTTTGGTAACCAGGCTGGGAACGGGTTTTCTGCGCGTGAAGAACTTGCGGGTGAAAAATTTGCGCGTGAAAAATTTGCGCGTGAAAAATTAAAGTCCTTTGAACATGTCAGAAAATATGAATTACCAAATTCTAATGCCGATAAATGTTACCCTGTAATATGATTTTCCATCTACAACCAGAAATTTCTGTTTGAAATTTTAGGTCCCTTGGGAATAGGTTAATTTGCATATCTTCCATGAAGCCTACCACTCGGTGACCCTGGTCCTGAACTGTGCTCAATTGGGGAGACCAAGTGCCTTCTGAAGTCTGTCAAACCCCAGAAGGCAAGCGGGCCAGATGATGTACCAAACTGGATTCTTTTCAGAGTTTGCAGACGACCTTGCCCCGATTGTGACCCACCTATTCAACGCCTCGTACGAAGAAGGAACAGTACCTATAGACTGGAAATCAGCAAACGTGGTCCCGGTGCCCAAATTTGCCGGCGCATCTAAAGCCCAGGACATGAGGCCTGTGTCCCTGCTCTCAGTCTTAGCAAAGCTTCTGGAGAGGAGCATCTTGAAAAGGCTACTACCTTCCATCCAGGCTGTCATCAAGGACCAATATGCGTACGTAAAGGGTTCCTCTACAACCCTGGCCCTGGTTCGGATGGTGCAAACGTGGTTAACTGCGGTAGATTCAAACAAGCCAACCTTGGTCAGAGCGATCTTCGCTGACATGAGTAAGGCGTTTGATCGTGTGGATCATGCTCGGCTTCTACAGCGCGTTATTGACATCCACACTAGCCCTCGCATGCAGAGGTGGATCGTCAGCTATCTCCAGAACCGCCGGCAGAGGGTCGTCATCGACGGCGAGACTAGTTCATGGCGCACCCTAACGTCGGGGGTGCCACAGGGAGGCGTTCTTTCCCCCTACCTGTTCATTCTCTTCATGAGCACGCGCACCACGGTACACATTGACACAATGAACGTTGGGTATGCCGATGACGTCACACTGTCAAGGACTCTATCCGTAGCCTTAGCTGATCAGGACAAAACTGTAGAGGACGAGTCTTCTCACCTCAACTCCTGGGCAGAGGACAACAAGATGACACTGAACGGTGGGAAGAGCCTCCTTCTCCAGATCTGCTTCAGTCGATCTGTCCCAATCCCACCCACGATCACTCTTGGAGGTCAACCAGTGCCATCTGTCGACTGTGCTAAGGGACTGGGTTTCCTCATAGACAAGGACCTAACCTTCAATGAACAGGTTAACTCCATGATCAGTAACGCTTCGCGCAGACTACACTACTTGCGCCTACTAACGAAACAAGGCACCAGCGTTACCGACCTAATCCAGATTTATCTGGCGCTAGTCCGGCCAGTGCTCGAATACGGACATGTGTTACTGGTCGGGTGTAGTAAGGAGCAAGAACTGGCCATCGAAAGGGTCCAGCGCCGGGCCTTGCGTATCATTTCCTTGGGAGGAAGGCGTAGCGTGCCTGACCTGCCCACACTGAAGTCGAGGAGGGAAGATGCGGCAGTACACCTGCTCCAACGCATGCTTCAGGAGAACCACCCTCTACATGACCTAGTACCGCCCTCAAGGGCTGGTGCCACGGGACGGACACTTAGAAACTCTAGCACTATCAGTGTACCAAGGGCCCGGACTGAGAGACTAAGAAATTCTTTCCTCCATTGCGCAATCCGTCTTTACAACAAGACAATTAGCACTGAGTAATTGGACATCTGGTAATCGCGCCAGGCACAGCATATGTTTAACTGTGACATGTTATTTGTGATGTTTTTAATATTGAGATTTTACCTATGTTATGATTCGTTTTAAAATGTAAATGTGTTTAATGTGACTGGTGTAACAAGGACGTAATTCGGGTGTGTTGCCCGCGAGTTCCTTAATGAATAAAGATTGATTGATTGAAGCCTAAACATTTGAAAGTAGCTTAAATTTGCCAGGAACATGGGGAAAAGTTACTAATACAAAGTTTTTTATTGTAAAATATAACAACTTGAGGCTTTCCTCTGTTCTAAAAGCTTGATTTGACATTTTCTGAAGCAGATTCTTTCACGCGCAAATTTCAAACTTTTTTGCGCGTGAAAACTTAATCTTTGAAAATCACCTAAAATCACTGAAAAGTTGACAAAACAAGGCTATGTACTCTAGAATGCAACAATATGATACTCAATTCTATTTCCTGACTTTTTATCTATACTTTTTAGTCTAAAACAGCAAAAAGTTATTAAATCCCTTGGGAATTGGCTAATTTGCATATCTTCACGCGCATATTTTTCACGCGCAAATTTTTCATGCGCAAATTTTTCACGCGCACAAAACCCCATCTCACCAGGCTAACTGTTGTCATGATTTTGCTAACATTGGAAGTAACAAAGAAAGTTTTGCTTAAAGAAAGCTACAAGAAATGGTTGCCCTGCAGTGGGTAATATTAATACTATTAGATTGCAGGAGTCCGGGAGGATCCGGGAGATTCGCTGATGTGGGGGTAATAAAACTCGTTTTTCCCAAGCCAAAGAACTATCGTAGCTTTTAATTTTATTTAATGTGCAATTAAATGTCCAAAGGTTGAGTGTAACAAGTCGTTCGGTGTGATAGAAAAGCGGACGGAAACTACGGAGGATGGCTCCCAGCTAGACACAGCCACCCCCACCCCACAAGTTTTAGCTAGTCACATCTTTCCACTCCTGAACAAATACAATAAAACGATTAGTGGCTATGCGGACCCCGTTTTCCGCTGAAATCGTCATTCACCATTCTGATCGCTGCCGACAGAACTACATACTCTACTATACTCTACTTGTGATACCTTTCTACTCGTGATACCTTTATTCCTTTACACCATCAATGGATCCTGACGAGGGATATTTCAGCAATGTCGAGTTGGAGGATCAGGAGGGAGACGTAAGTGAAATAATTGGAAAATTAGCATTTTTTTAGCATTTCGACAAAATATACGACTCGTTAAAATGCTTAGCCTGGTATCCAGTCTGATCGTGGTCGGGGGAACAAGAGCCCTGTCCCGCCCGTCTCACATGTGTTGCCCGGTCTGTATTTCACGAGAGATTAATTAGCCCTCCACGAACAGACTGGGGACGGGCCTGTTTTAGTTTTCTCACGACAGCGGATAGACTTCGTGGTGGGGGAAACTAAATCCCTAAGCAGACTGCCTCTGATGATTCGGTCATACCAGATACGTAAATGAAGCCATGTAAGGCTAACTTTCTTGGGTACAAGTTGGTAGCCGAAGTACGGAAACCACGCTCTCCGAGTGTCAGCGCTCGTTTACAGTGCAGAAAGTAGCTTCAACGCTGGATTTCCATTTTTCCCGCTGAGAATTACTGTGATACAGTCAGCGAAGTGGCGTTATCGGTGTCATTGATAATGCTGATATCCATGTATTAAATGTAGGGGTGGTTCTGAAATATTACATTGACCAGAAAAACAGCTACGGTAAATATACGTACATCATCATGGGCATGCCTGCAATTGCATGCCGATTAAACAAAGTGAACCGTGTGTATTAGCTACGAACGCGAAAAAAAAACTGACCACAATACTCCTGCAGGAGGGATACCGCCTTCCCGGAGTAACAAGAATGATGCTCTACTTTACCTCGTGAGATTCCGTAGAAGTCCAGCTCTGGGAGCCATGGCTGATAGCCCGAGTGGGTCCGCGTGACTACAAACCTCCAGTACCGCGCTGTTCCCTGGAACCCGCCGAACTCCTGGCGCTGTCGTGTCCCTCCGGTCACGTTATCGACAGACACGACGTCCACCCAGCTGTATGGACTTCCGGCCTGAGACTTTTGTAAGGTGAAGGCTGCCATGTCATGGGTGGTGTCTCCGTAGTTGTTGACTGCGATGCGGGTCAGAGTGTGGGACTTTATGAGGTCCAGCACGAAGTACCAGTTGTTATAGTTGTACTGTCTTTGTCCTTTAGCTTGTGCGTTCCAGTAGGTCCCTTTTTCACCATCCAAGGCTTTGGCGGCATCGTATGCCCTACCTTTGTCGTCAACCCACACACCGGAAGAGTCTACGACCCATGACGAATCACGCTCCAACCATTGACCTGGAACAGAAGGGATAGAATCATCAAACTAGCTCTATTGAAACAAGGGAAGTTAATTATTTAGCTAATTATTATCTAGCTTTTTAACACAGATATACCGCCATAGACATTACACTGGTTTGGGTTGGTACGAGATGTGGGAAAGTCTTCTAGTTTGTACAGAACTACTTCTTAGCATTTTTTAGAGAAAATTGTGTCGACATCAGTCTTGACATTCAGTATTGCTCAAGAACTCGACATTGTTTTTGTACCTGTTACAGTTGCTGTGCAATTAGTTACCTTCGCCAAGAAGGTTATGCTTTCGTAGGCGTTTGTGTGTCTGTGTGTGTGTGTCAACACGATAACTCAAGAAGGCTACGATGGATTTTCTTGATATTTGGTAAGTGGGTAGATCTTAATGAGACGTGGAACTATTTAGATTTTGCCCCCCCCCCAGCGGCTTGTTATGGTACTGCAGCTGAACTTCCGGTTTTGACATCTCGTGATCTGGACATGCTAGGGTCATGAAATTTAGATGGTAGATAAGCTCTTGTGCTGGGAATGAAGTAACATGAGTTTGAGCCCCCTAGCTGCTTGCTCTGGAACCGCAGGGCCGTTAGTTGAAAAATGTTTTAAGGCGGATAACTAAAGAACCGATTGATGGATCTCCGTGATTTTTGGCATGTAGGTAGCTGAAGTGATGCTTGACATAATAATAATATTACAATTATGCAAATCTTAATGTAATTTGCATAATTAATGAGGAAATTCTATACATCAGCTGCACTCCATGATATGACTATTCAAGCTTGTGATATATGTGATTAATAATTAAGGTCTCATTCATGTATTACTCCTAAAAGAGTACCAAGTCAAAAACTAAACGGCTGTATGAACGAGTGTTTTTATTGGTGAGAATTTCCCCTTTAGCCATCCCAACTGATGTAAAACGTCAAAGCGGTGAAAGCTTGTTTGTAACTGATAAAATTAGGACATAATTGTCGGCAGCCGCGCGCTAGGTCGGACGTACACAGTCCAGTGTTGTGAGTTGTGCGGTCGTAGGTTTGCAGCGCGGGAGGGCCTCTTGCGGGCAGCCGCTAGTTGCAGTTTGTAATTCCCATAAAAGGGGATTGTGTGTATAGAAGTCGTTGGCAATTTTTTAATGAGACCTAGAGTAAATGTGCTCAACATAGCATGAAAGATATCAATTGATTTAATGTAGGATCATAGGGAACGCGGTCTCGTAAGTCACTCATTAATGCATGGTTTCTAATGTATGGAAAAAACTCATGAATGAGACCTTAATTAACCCTAAACAGTACACCTGGGGTCCGCGCGGACCCCAGCACTATATATTCTGTAATATCTTTTTTGTTGCTAAAGACTTTTTTCTGAAATTTTAGGCAATTGTCACCCACAAAGTTGTCTCTCAATACAGTGCAGAAAAATTCGTTTCTACCATTTATAGAAAAAATTATATCTGATTTTCTTTTGGGGTCCGCGCAGACCCCAGCCGGCTTTCGATCATAATGGATACACTCGCGTTCTTATACATTACATTATTTCCGTTTTTATATGTTTTTATGCACTCATCGTATGTCTACCAAGTTTTCAGAGAATGGTGTTGTAATAGAATTAAATTGTAATAACTTTGGTGTAATTATGACGTCATATGACGTCAGAGCTAATAATATAGTCCGCCATATTGGATTTTGACCAATGACGTCATCAAATTAGCATATTCTATGCATATTAAATGATTTAACTTATATTTAATTATGTAAGATGTTATTCATGTTGGAAAAGAAGTGTAATTTAATATAAAACTCAGAAAAATTTTATGTTTAAATCAAAATTAAAAAAAACTGCCTGCTGGGAACCCGTTGCCATGCCAACACAAAAAAACATCAACTTGCTAGTATTAAACTAATATGAACTTTTTTCCAGAGACATTTTAGGAAAGGTCTCCAAATTTGATACTTCTAGCGCAAGCTGTTTAGCCGCTATCTGAGATCAAAGTTGGGCCTCAAAAGCCCCTTCAGTCTGAAATTGGTTTAAAAATCGGGTATTTCTTCTTGTCTTCTTTTCTTCACAAAAAAATAGAAAAAGTTCAAAATGTATGATTTTTGTATGTAATGTGGACACAGAGGTTCCCACATCAGTTTGCAAAACAATTGAGCTGGTAGCATGTTGATAATTTCTAAAAATTAGCAAAAAACTGTCTTGGGGTCCGCGCGGACCCCAGGTGTACAGATTAATCAGTCCGGGAAGGTGTACTGTTGAGGGTTAACTTGAAGTCGCCTTTTCAGAACTGTCTTATCACATTAATTCTCAGCGGAAAAAATGAGATAAGGTCTGCTCGATGTGGCCGTTTTAGGCAAGCTTTACTCATATGTGACACCCTGCAGTGACAGTTTTGGGTATTGTGGTCAGCATTTCGTTGTAAGACATGCATTGTGCGATATACCCGTATAGTCAACAGGTCGGCTTAGTGGAGCGAGGTGTGTTCCTGTTACGATCGGCTGCCAGACACCATAGAAGCTTGAGCCAGGCCAGAACACCCCCAAAGCCGACCCGATAAGTGGTATGGGCACGGGCATTAGGACAGCAATATATAGCGCTTGAGAGATAACATGCCAGTGGATTTGGTCTGCTAGAGTACAGCTTGACGCACCCGGGAAGGTATCTCATTAATTCACTAGAAGACGAATTCTGGTTCTCTATCTAGTGAATTAATGAGATAGCGACCCCTTATCTCATTAATTCACTAGAAGAAGAATTCCTGAACTCTATCTAGTGAATTAATGAGATAGCGACCCCTTATCTCATTAATTCACTAGAAGAAGAATACTGATTCTCTATCTAGTGAATTAATGACATAGCGACCTCTTATCTCATTAATTCACTAGAAGAAGAATTCTCATTCTCTATCTAGTGAATTAATGAGATAGCGACCTCTTATCTCATTAATTCACTAGAAGAAGAATTCTTGTTGTAGTAAAAAAATTAATTAATCGCACCATAAGGACTTATCACCAGTTATTCCAGTTATCACTGGTTTCGACTCGAAATTCCTATCTCAACTAAGTAAATGTGATAAATAATCAAGTTTAATCAATAATTAAAGTTTTTGTAACATTTCAAAATTGAGAAAAAGCCATGTTTAGGACGTTTAAGTGAACCATGGCGACTTAAAGGCAGATAGAATTAGTTAATTTTTTCACATATTTTAGACCAGCTATGGTTTAAATCACACCAGAAAGTAAGTTTGGGTTCTTCATGGGTCCGAACACAATGACCACTGATTCTATTGCATTATAGGTGAAAAACACATCCACAGCTTAACTTAAGAGTGAAGAAAACAAAATCTAAAGTTTCTTTCGTTTGTCAAGGAAATCTACCTTGCACATACAAACGTTGATTTAGGACTGACAACGGGTTACCGTCATTATACATTTGTAGGTGTTACCGTCATTATAGAGAGGAGGTGGAGTTTTGAGGCCCGGGGCCACTTTCATGTTGTATGGTATATGAACATTTTAAGCTAGAACGTGGTGACTTTTCCTCGGATAAATTTGGCAATAATTTGATATTAGTAATTCATATTTAATGCCATGTCAACCGGTTGCTTACAGGCATATATTTTACAAAATTCAGTCTAGTTTTTTCTTATAAATATTCATGACATGCATGTAATTCATATAATTTTTCATGATTACAAATTTATGATTCATGTTACTTTGATGACATGACCAATGACGGTCAAAATCCAAGATGGCGGACCATAAGTAACTCGGATATAACCATCTTTTAAAATTATTATCTTATGGCAAGGAAAGTTATCTTTTACAAATGAATGCAGATTCATTCTGGATTAACAAAGGGTTGATATAATGGTGAATATTTCTTTTAAATGGAAAATGTGCACTTATCATTTCTATTTCATAATAGTTGTAGTTTCATTTTACATAACTCAACAGTATTTCTGCGGCAGGACAATTCTGGCTGTTACAACTATATATAAATGGTTTATTTTATTTGCAAATTGACATACATGTTGTAAAACTAAAACAACATTGCAGCCTAATAATACAATGCACTTACGAAAGGCACACAAAATATCATTAATATTTACAAAACAGCCAAACTAAATAACAAGAATATTTTCGTTTCACGAAAAAGAAATTATGCCTATCCCTCTAGACGATATATTAGGAACTAAGGAGCGAGAAACAAATGATCAACCGACACGATTTGCTCTTTGGCGGAATAAATCCACAACTGTGGTAATGCTGCTGCAAACCAGCTGACAAAAAGTGGAATTTCAATCAAAAGTGTGGTAAAGGGCCTTGCAATAGAAAGTCAGTCAAACATTTGATGAATATAACAATAAAGGACAGGCCTGACAACTTCATCTAAAATTAAGCGAGTCTTGACCACAACCTCCGTTGGAGCTGACATAACTGTTGCTAACTTGCCAAAGCAAAAGGGTGTGGAAAGTGGTTACCATGGTCAAATCGAAAGGATTGTCATACTGATGACTTCAGGAAAGCCCACAGCTTTACAGAGGTCCTCAAGTCAAATGAGACAAACAAGTCTTCGCCTGGTTCAAGGAAGAGAAGACTGGGATTCTGATACTAAGTACAACAAAGCAAGTGTAAATAAAGCTTTCCTGTCCTTAAGAAGGATGTACCTAGACATTGGTGTCCCTGTGTCCATGCTATAGTAATTTGAAGGGAAACTTAGATGGACAGAGCCACCCTGCAAGAATATGTAGAAACTAGAGTTCCACGATCTCATACCTTCGGCAAATGATGTTAATCTTTATGACTGACAAAGATGATTCCTTCTGATTATGCAAATAAAATCCTCATTTGTATTATATTTATATTATAATATTGTATTATAATATTGTATTATAATATTGTATTATATAGTTGATCATATTTTCCACCAAAAGACAGCCTTATCTTATCAAAGAAATCCATTCTATCATTTCCTCATAAATTATGCAAATGAGGTCCTTATTTGAATAAGTTATGTTTATTGATGTTCTCCTTCACTTAACTTTCAAATAGCCCAAGTATGACATTTCAGGCAGCTAGCATTATGGAATTATAACATTTTCTCATTAATAATGCAAAATAGGTGTTAATTTACATAATTAATATCTGCCTGTGTTTCGTTCTCAATTACATATGTCACACGCTTGAATAGTCATATAATGTAATGCAGCTGATTTATAGAATTTCCCCATTAATTATGCAAATTAGATCCAGATTTGCATGATTGTCGCATAATTATGTCAAGCGTCACTTGAGCTACCTACATACCAAAAATCACGACGATCCGTCCACCGGTTCTTGAGTTATCCTCTTTTGAATATTTTGAAACAAATAGCCCTGCAGTTCCTGAGCAAGCCGCTAGGGGGCCCAAACTCATGTCACTTCTTCCCCAGCTTGAGAGCTACCTACCATCCACATTTCGTCACCCCAGCATGTGTAGATCATAAGATATCAAAACCGGAAGTTCAGCTGCAGTACCATAACAAGCCGCTAGGGGGCTCAAAATCTAATCATTTCCAGGAGTCATCAAGACCTACCCACCTACCAAGTTTCAAGATAATCCATCTAAGCTTTCTCGAGTTATGCTGTTGACGGACACACACACACACACACACAGACACACGGCCACGAAAACATAACCTTCTTGGCAAAGGTAAAGATAGATAGGAGCGGGGGGGGGGGGTTAAAGGCTACGTCAATGTAATAACTCTTACCGTGTACAAATAAGTAAATATATCAAAGAATGTTTAGAACAAGTAGTATAAGTTGACTATAAGTTTGGCATTGGACGACAAAAAGGGGAAAGAAGTGTGATCCCAGTCAAGTGGCAAAAGGCATACAGAGAGCTAAGAATAGTAGAGGCAGGCGGCTGTCTGAAGCGTTCGAGCTCTTAACATGAACACAGATCCCCAGTATCTTTTCATGACTCGCTGCCAGGAGAATTCCTGGAAGTTGGAGGACAAGGGTATACAGAGCACTTTTTGACAGTTGAGATGCACCTTGCACACTTCATAGCACTGTTGTTAAAGAAGTTGGTCTGGCCCATCCAATACTGCTTGAAATAGAACAAACTATATACTAACTAGAATTCCCCGATCTCATACCTTCGCCAAATGATGTTTATCTTTACGACTGACAAATCATAGATTATCCCCCTGCTTTAACAATTAGGATCCTCATTTTCATCAATTATATCAGTTTATCATATTCTCAACCAAAAGACAGTCTTATATTAACAAACAATGCAATTCTAGCATTTCCTCATAAACTATGCAAATGAGGTCCTGATTTGAATACGTTCTGTTTAATGATGTTCACTTTCACTGAACATTCAAATACCACATTACATTATTATGTCAAGCATCACTTAAGCTACCTACATACCAAAAATCATAATGATCCATCAATCGGTTCCCGAGTTATCCTCCTTAAAACATTAAAAAACGCCCCTGCAGTTCAAACTCGTCACTTCATCCCCAGCACAAGAGCTACCTACCATCTAAATTTCGTTACCCTAGCATGTCCGGATCATGAGATATCAAAACCTGAAGTTCTGCTGCAGCACCATGACAAGCCGCCAGCCACACAGACACACGAACGCCCCTGAAAACATAACTTTCTTGGCGAAGGTAATAACCTCCATGACATGTCATGGAGGTAATAAAAGAATGTGCATAATCTGCAGCCTAATAGTTTATTGTTTGTTTATTTGATCGATCTCCATTAGTGCGTACAACAATAATACAACACTAGTCTTCCTGGAGTCGTTTGAATACAAACACTGCCTTATACTATACATACATACATATACAAGAAGCGAACGTAACTTAAATACAACATGTCAAATAAAATGCAACATAGCAATGAAATGCGACATGGGAAATGAGAATACAACATAGGGTATAAAACTGCTGATAGGTCAGAGGTCTCAATACAGTGAAGAACAAGTAATTCTATACAACAGTCGTCGCGCTACCACCATGATTGCAGAGGTTGGGAAGTGTCCACTTTAGTTTTCAGCCAATCCCTGATATGTTTCTTAAAAGTTGTAGGTGCAGACAATCTGATGTGTTCAGGAAATAAGTTGTAAGTTTTGATGCACCGATACAGGAATGTTCTTTTGGCTGAGGCGGTTTTCGGCTTTGGCAATTTGAAGCCACCTCTGTGTGCTAAACGAGTGTTATGTTGATGTGTGTCAGTGACTCTTTGTAAGCGTTTGTAGATGGATTCTGGTCGCTTGGCCGTTAGAAGTTTATTAAACATGGAGAGTGTTCCTGTGTACAATCTGTCATTAACTTTGGGCCATTGTAATATTCGGTGCATATTGTCCGAGCTGGAGTTGTACTTGGCGTTTAAAACCAATCTGACAGCTTTGTTTTGAATAATTTGAAGTTTGTTCAAATGAGATTGTGGACAGGCCGACAACAAACACGAACAAAAATCCAAATGGCTTAGAACAAGTGCCTGTGTGACTGTTTTTAACGTTTCTTTTGTAATGAATTCCCTTGATCTTGTCAATGCAGCTAGTGCGCTTGTCATTTTAGATTGAACTTTTTCAGCGTGTTGACCCCAGGTCAGCTGTTTATCCAACCACATCCCCAGTAGTTTTGCCTGGTTTACCTCTTCTATACTTTTGTTACCCATTGAAAGCTGCAGTTGTGGATTATTTTTGAGTTTGTGGCAGCTGCCCATGACTATGCATTTGGTTTTGTCCACATTTACAACCAGCCTGTTTGCTTGTACCCAATCCCAGATATGAGTCAGGTCATTGTGGAGGGTGCTCTGCACTTCTGCTATGCTAGAGCCTGACGCTGAAGGGGTGGTATCATCTGCGTACATTTCTACGTAACTATGTCTTACAACTGTAGGAAGATCGTTCGTGTATACGCAAAATAATAGAGGGCCCAAACAGCTGCCTTGGGGTACCCCGCTCTTGATTTCACGGTGCGAGGAGACACTGCCGTTAACAAAAACTGCCTGTGTTCTATTAGTCAGGTAACTTCTAACCCATTTAATTGCAGAGTCAACAAAGCCGTAGCTTTCTAGTTTGGCCAGTAAGATTTCGTGGTTTACCACATCGAAGGCGGCACTAAAGTCCAGGAGGACTGCGCCTACGAGCTTCCCCTTATCTATTTTCTCTAACCACCTATCCGACATCTGTACTAGTGCACTCGCAGTGGAGTTCTGCAGTTTGTATGCATGCTGGCAGTCGGACAGAATGGCGTTGGAAACAAGGTAAGACTGAATTTGACTGTTGCAAATCCTTTCCATCATTTTGCTCAATGCAGGAAGGAGACTTATTGGACGGCTGTTGGGGCCATTTAATGGAAGGGCTTTGTTTTTGCTGAGTGGTAGAATCTTGGCCTTCTTCCACTGCGTGGGGAAAATCCCTTGTACGATGGATCGGTTAAATACATGGCACAGAGGTTTTGCTATGTGATCGGCTGAAATTCTCAGTAATGTATTGTCTATATTGTCAAGCCCCATTGATTTACTAGGTGTAAGCAAGTTTAACAGCTTGTGTACATGGCTAACTGTAACTTCGTGAAAAGAAAATGTTCTTGGATGACATAATGTTTTCCTCTATCGTCGCTGTCACTTTAGCTATGTCTATGTTGCCTGCCTGTGTAAGTCCTGAAACTTTATTTACAAAGTACTCGTTAAAATGTTCAGCAATATCTTTGGGTTTTGTCAATGTCTTGCCATTTGCTTCAATAAATGTGGGTGTTCTACGTGTGTTTCGCCCCAATATTCCATTAATCACGCTCCAAAGTTGTTTCGTGTTTCTGTCTTTACAATGAGCTGTAAGCAATTCATTGTAATGTGATTTCTTCTTCTTTCTATTTTCTCTGACTACTACATTCCTTAGTCGTTTGTACACCTGGTAGTCGGACGTAAGACCCGTTGCCTGTGCTTCTTGTTTAGCATCGTCCCTTTGTCTCATTAGATCTCGGAGGCCCTCGTCGACCCACTGGGCCGGTGAGGCCCTCACTGATCTTTTTCGGACAGGGGCGTGCTGATCCGCTACTTGAGTAAACAAGGTCATAAAACTAGAAAGGCCGACATTTGCTTGGGAGCAAATACAGCATATTTCAGTCCATCTCCCTCCCACGCAAAAGTGGACTATTCCAAACTTACCCCAGTGCAAAACTGGAATATCCTCAAATGAATTATATAGTAGCTATGTAATTGAGAACAGAGATGCAAGAACAAGCACTTTGAGTCTCGACAGTTTTACTTACAAAATTTCACATCACCACTCTTATCTCACAATCCTATTACAGGTACTTACAATGATGAGATTTGATACATTTTGAAGGTATAATTGCAAAGAAAAGGAAACTATACATGACTATATATTGATTAACTATAAAACTATACATATATAAACTATACATATTGAACTATACATTAATCAAATACACTATGACACATAAATATTGAATAAGATGTACATGACTTGCATATACTCTAAAACACTACATTCATACATGAAATAATCAACATATGATTGACATGATTTTTATATCATACATGTACTATGCCACTACAAATATCAGATGTTGAATATGCTATACACGACTTGTATACACTAAGAAACTACTACATTCATATTGAATAATCTACACATGGTTGGCATAATTATACCTGTATACCTTACATTTTCTATGCCACTACATATATTATTGATATTTGAGAAGCTTTACATGACTTGTATATACAATTATTTACAAAATTATATACCATACATATACTATGTGCTGTATCCTTCTGCTGATGGCTGGTTCCTCCCCGGTCTGTTTCTCCTGGACCAAGTTCTGCTTCCTTCCCTAGGAGAGGTCCCATCTGGAGGATAGAAACAGGACATTAAGATTTAAAAGCTGAGCAGAAACCAAGGGCCTATAACCTCCTTGCAGAAATCATACTTTGTAATTAGTCATATATATATATATATATTTGTAGATTCTTCTCCTTCTTAGCACAAGCTTACCTGCTGTATGCTCTGTGCAGGATCTTCCAACCATGTAACTGCTTGACCCTTGAAACAAAGGAAAAAATTGATTTATTACAGACAGTATTACAATAATGAACATCTACTAAACAAGGGATTACATGGAACTTTCTTTTTAGTTAGAATGTGACAATAACAAGGAAAATGGAAGGAAAATATAACAATACCATTGATGGCATTACAAAAATAAAACATATATCAAGGAATGAAGAATAACGTATGGGATATGTGACAAATCCAATGTGATGTTCTTCAAATGACTGGTCTCCTGAAAGAAACAAAACTGGATTAGATAGAAAATATGGTATGGAGTGAAATTTTATTGAGAAGAATTGAAAGAAACACCATTTTTGTTGATGTCATTTTTCATTTCGTCATTTATTTTACATATTGTTTTTCATTCCTGAGATCTACCCCCTGCACCGGGGTCTCTACCCCACTCATCGGGGTCTTATAGCCAGGGGTCTCTCTCTTTTCCCCTATCCACCTCTCTCCTCCCCAATTACGGGGGGAGTTCCGTGGTTTACCTCCCTCCTCCCCAATCACAGGGTTTACCTGCCTCCTCCCCAATCACGGGGGGGAGCTCTGACCTCCCTCCTCCCCAATCACGGGGGGAGCTCTGACCTCCCTCCTCCCCAATCACGGGGGGAGCTCTGACCTCCCTCCTCCCAATCACGGGGGGGAGCTCTGTGGTTTACCTCCCTCCTCCCCAATCACGGGGGGAGCTCTGTGGTTTACCTCCCTCCTCCCCAATCACGGGGGAGGGAGCTCTGTGGTTTACCTACCTCCTCTTTTTCCTTCCTCCTCATAAATCACAGGGGAATCACAATATTCATTACAGCATCAAACTACATTGTACTCCTTGACAACTCAAGTATGGTATGGAGTGAAATTTATAATAATTGAGAGAGCATTTTTGTTGTTGTTGATGTCATTTTTCATTTATTTTACATATTTTTTTTTTCATTCCTGAGATCTACCCCTTGCATCGGGGTCTCTACCCCATTCACCGGGGTCTCTACCCCATTCACCAGGGGTTACTTTTTCCACCC